CAGAGGCGGCCCTTCCTTGGCAACAACCCACCCACCCTATCCCCTGCTTGGTGCCACGTCACTCTTCACCTCCATCGCGCCGTCATCGTCACCAACCCCAGTGCCAGATCCAGCGACCAACCACCACCACCGGTACGTCCTAACACCGTCTGCTTCGATCTGCAGTTCGTAATTCTGGTCGGCAGGTGACCACCGTCCACGCCCTAGTGGTGTTCAACGTGCGGTCCCGTAGGTCTTTCCTTAGGTTGAGCTGGGTCAGCGATGGCAAAGGCATTCCCTTAGCTTGCGCACTTCAATCTCCACCTCTACCAAACCCAATCCACCACCCACCTTCCCGATCTCCTTCATCTATGGCTCGACAAACGACTAGGGGACTACACCGACAACATTTGGTTCGGCGGCGTGAACCACTGTGAGCTCAACCCTTCCGCTCACATCCTTTTCTCTTAGCACAACTTGACGACGAACAAGGGTTGCACGGCATCTGTCCATGCGTAAAATTCCGGTGTTTGGTCATTCAAGTGTGGTGCGGTGGCGTTGGCGAGGAAGTATCCGTGGATTTGGGTTGCAGAGTGCTGATCTCTATGTAAAATCCCTCGATCCCGCCTTACTTCCGGGAGTTGGGTACTGGTGAAGCACGTAGTAGGGGAGGTTTCGACCAAGCCTATTGCTTCACAGTGGAGTCCACAAGCGTTCAATAGTTTGCCGCAACGGCTCCACCAAAACCTTCGAAGCAAACTTAGATCTTGCTAGACCACATGTCGAAGAGCGCCGATGATGAGAAGTCCCACTGGGACCAGATGCTGGAGAGCATTGATTTGCTTTTCCACAGAATTAATGATATTGGCGTCATCCAGCAGGAGCTGAAGACTCAAATGCAAGAGAACAACAGGAAAGTCGATAAGTGTGTAGCTGAGCAACAATTCATAGCACAACAGGTTAGAGCAAATGGGCAAGCTATTGCATAGCTCACTCTCCAGCAATTTGATAAAGAACCACAAGAATTTAGTGATGGTTCAGTGTCTGTCATCTTTGAGGAAGAGGAGGACTTCCAGAATGTGTTTGCCCACACCAATGAAACCCACAAACCATCCACTTCCAAACAACCTCGACACACCCAGCACCACACAAAGAAAGAGGACCTCCCACATCACACCCTTCCCAAGATGCAATTCCCAATCTTTGATGGTGAAAATCCCAAGATATGGATTGATAACTATGAGAACTACTTCACCATATACACTATTCTAGAGAGGCTTTGGGTAACTGCAGCATCTATGCATTTGCAAGGCAATGCAGCTATGTGGTGGCAGCCTTACAAGCAGACTCACAGAAAGATCTAATGGAAAGACTTCTGCTCAACTGTGCAATCAAAATTTGGCTCTGATGATTACAAATCAGCTGTCCAGGAGATGTTGAATCTGAAGTAGACTGAGACAGTGGAAGAATACACCACTCAATTCCAAAAACTCCAATTTCTGGTGTCAATGCATAGTGGCAACTTTGATGAGCTGTTCTTTGCAACCACTTATGTGACTGGCCTCAAGGAAGATATTAGAGCAATTGTGGAACCCTAGGTTCCAACCACAATTGAAAGGGCTGCTATTATAGCAAAGATACAACAAAGGGTCCTAGAGAGGAGCAAACTAAAATATCAGCGAGCCAACAATCTAGCTAGACAACAGCAACACAAACTGACCAAGCCAATACTGACATATATGGTAACTTATGGAGGGACAAGCAACTGAGAGATTATAGAAAGGCCAACAATTTGTGCTATCACTATGGAGAAAAATTTGAGCCTGGCTATGCTTTGAGTCTCAGTACAAAGAAGACAACCACAAATCAATGCTCTAGTGGTCAATGATCCAGATAAAGAGATCAATGAGGATCTTCTCAATGAAATGGCAATAGATGAATTGTTGATGAAGACTTCATCAATTGTCATTGAATGCTATGGTTGGTACTGAATCCAAAGATTACATCAACCTAAAGACTCTGCATCAAGAACAAGACAATGCTAACTTTAGTGGACACTAGGAGTTCCCATAGCTTTGTTAGTTCCCATTTTGTGCAGCTGGCCAAACTACAAACAATCTAAATGGACAAGCAAAAAGTGAAACTTGCTAATGGGGAGTGGACGACAGATGCAACCATGGTACCAAATCTTACCTGGTATATTCAAGGCCACACATTTACATCAGACATGATTGTCTTGGACCTTTTGCCATATGACGCTATTTTGGGATATGACTGGCTAGAGAGCCACAGCCTTCAATGCATTGTGATTGGATAGGCAAAACTTTAACATTCCAAAGATAAGGGCAGCAAGTGTTACTCTGAGAGGCATCAAGCCCCACCCATTGCAATTGAGTACAATCTCAGCTAAGCAGCTCTACAAATCAACACAGGCAATGATATTTGGGCATATGTTGTCTTTGGACATCATCAAGGAACAACCAGCAGCAACCAACTTAGTACCAATGGTTCCCAATGAGGATGTCCAACTATTGTTGCATCAATATGCTGATGTCTTCAAGGATCCTCAAACCCTTCCACCACCAAGAAGTTATGACCATGTCATTCCTCTTATGCCTGATGCTGTCTCCATCAATTCCAGGCCTTACCATTATTCACCTCAGCATAAAACTGAAATAGAGAACCAAGTGAAACAACTATTGGATCATGGACTCATCACACACAACCATAGTCCATTTGCATCCCCAGTGCTCTTGGTCAAGAAGAAAGATGGTAGTTGGAGGTTTTGCATAGACTATAGAAAGCTCAATTCAATCACTATCAAGAACAAATTTCCAATGCCGATTATTGAAGAAATATTGGATGAGTTACAAGGCTTCAAGGTGTTCACCAAGTTAGATATGAGATATGGATATCCCCAAGTGAGGATGTTGCCTGCAGATGAATACAAGACAACATTCAAAACCCATCAGGGCCATTATTAGTTTAAGGTCATGCCCTTTGGGTTGACTAATGCACCAGCAACTTTTCAATGCATTATGAATCAAGTGTTGCAACCCTTCCTCTGGTAGTTTGTCTTGGTGTTCTTAGATGATATTCTCATATACAGCAAATCCATAGAACAACATATCGAGCATCTACAACAAGTGTTGGAGACACTAAGGGCTAACAAGCTATACCTCAAAGCATCTAAGTGCTCATTTGCTCAACAAAGTCTAGAATACTTGGGCCACATTATTTTTGATCAAGAGGTGTCTACAGACCCAGCCAAGACTCAAGCAATGCTCCAATGGCCAATGCCAACATCCTTCATAGAGCTTAGGGCATTTTTGGGGTTAACTGGCTACTATAGGAAATTTGTGAAAAACTATGGAATTATAGCGAAACCCCTCACACTACTTCTCAGGAACAAACAATTTCAATGGACTGATCAAGCCAACACAACATTTCACAATCTGAAAATAGCCATGACAACAACACCTGTTCTTGCACTTCCAATTTTTCAAGCTCAGTTCACAGTTGAAACAGATGCTTGCATAGATGGAGTAGGGGCAGTGTTGATGTAGAATGGGCAGCCTATTGCTTATCTTAGCAAAGCTCTAGGAGAAAAACATAAACAACTTTCAATCTATGAGAAAGAATTCTTGGCATTGATAATGGCAGTGGAAAAGTGGAGACACTATCTATAAAGGCAGGAATTCATCATCCTGAGTGATCACAGATCCTTAGCATATCCTTCAGAACAAAATCTTCACTCTGATGTGCAAAGAAAAAGCAATGACAAGACTAATGGGCCTTCAGTTCAAAATCAAATACAGAAAAGGCAAAGAGAACATGGCTGCAGATGCTTTGTCTAGGGTGGCTCATATGCTAGCTATAATGGCAGTATCAGTGGTGCAACCACAATGGGTACAGGAAGTGCTGAACTCTTATACAACAGACCCTCATGCCCAACAGCTTATCACACAACTTTCTACCAACAGCCCAGATGCAAATGGGTACAACCTTCACCAAGGTTTGATCAAGCATAAGGACCTCATTTGGATTGGCAACAAGTCTGCCCTCCAAACAAAACTGATTGCTGCATGTCACTCTAGTGCCATTGGTGGCCATTCTGGAGTCAATGCAACTTATCACAGGCTCAAAAGACACTTTGTGTGGAAAGGGATGAAAACTGATGTGGATTGCTACATCAAATAGTGCAAGATCTGCCAGCATGCAAAACACTCACATACTCACCCAACTGGATTGTTGCAACCCCTACAAATCCTAGCTGGTGTCTGGAAGGATTTGTCTATGGACTTCATTGAGGGCTTACCAAAATCTAAAGGGTACTCTATCATCATGGTAATAGTGGATAGACTTACAAAGTTTGCACATTTCATTCCTATCAGACACCCCTACACCGCCATCTCTATTGCCAAACTATTCCTAGACAATATTGTGAAACTTCATGGTATGCCTCAATCCATAGTTTCAGATACTTTGATTCCTCGGCGTCATCGCTCCCGAACCTTCCAGCGTCGCCGCCACCTCCTTGGAGCCTCCTCCACTCTGCCGCTTCCTAGACGCCTCCTCCCCTCCCAGCGCCTCCGCTCTGGCTTGCACGACTGGCCCATGGCACGGTGGTGGCGCCTGCCTAGTCTGCCCCCAGATCCACTGCCCCAAGTGGCCCGATGTCTCCGTGCGTTCGCCTATGAGCTGCAGTGGGTATGCTCCTTACGAGTTCCCCTTGCTGTGGATCGGAGGAAGGAGGTTGGGACTAGGGAGATCTCATTGCTGGTTCCAGTCCTTGTTGCCAGGAAGCTGCCATCGCCGTCGATCTCCACCATGTAGGGCCTGCATCCCTCCATCGAGGTGCCCTTGCAGGTGCTGCTCGTCGGCCAGCCTGCATGTGGGGAAACTCATCATAGCCCGATAGCTGACTATGAACGAGGAGCTCTATCAAGTAGTTGTCCGCCTGCCTCAACGCCGACGCTAGACCCAACCCCGGCAAGGTCGCTGCCAAGCTAATGATGGCCATGGCCACCAAGCTCGCCGCCAAGCCCAAGAATGCAGATGAAGACCGCCTCGCTCAAGCCTCCATCCCCGTCATGCCCGAGCCACCGCTGCCGGAAGCCTCTGTCTCCACGTTTAGCTACAGCGATTCCGACGATGAGGATGTGGATGAGGTCTTGTTGGTGGACTCGCCACCACCGCTTCCTCATCCTGGTGGATCGCGGGTGCATTCATCATCGCCGCCTCTCTCTGCGCCACTGCTAGAGCAGTCACCTCCTAGCTGCTGCAACTCCAACAATGGGCACTCCATTCCCAACTCATCGATGGATGATCTACACAACTCCATTGACACTCCGCCACCACCACCGCCGCTCAAGCAATGTCGGCCACAGCCTGGCGACAACATGGTAGTGCCACCAACACCTGAGTCAGAGCCCAAGACAAGCCGTACCTACACTGATATCGTGAAGCATTCTTCGTTGGGCAAAAATCATCACCAGCAGCCGCAGGACCACAAGCTTAAATCAATTATCATAGATCTTGCTCGTCATGAAGTTCCTCGCCATTGTGCACGTCTTCGAGTTCATTTCACTGATAGCCCTTCGTGCTCTGCTACTTCAAGCATCGATTCACCCAAGAACACCTTGTGGAGAAAGGTTGAGTATCCATGGGAGGAGTTGCACCACTCGCCAACCCATCCCAGTAGTAATGATGGGAGCTTGACTTGTCTCTCTCCCTGCATTTGGAAGATCATTGAAGGCCACTGCTTCATTTGCCTTGCACGGGGCCACTGGGCTATAGATTGTCGAGATCCCATCACCTGCTTTCGGTGTCGCCGCTTGGGCCATCGTGAGTGGGATTATCGTCAGCGTCACCAACATCCCCGTCAATCGGCCATGCCTTGTCGCCCACCTCTGCCGCAACCTTTTCCACAGGAGGAACAATCACAAGGTCACCAGAATGATTGTCGCACTAAGCGTTTGCACCTAAGGAGCAATGATCCTCAGAGCTCAAAGCATTTCTTCACCCAATATGCTAACTATTTTTAGCACGAAAATCAAGAATATGTTTGATGCGAGAGATACAAAGTTTGTGTAGTGAGTTCTCCCTCGCTGCTCAGTGTTGTAACACCCTCGGTGTTACACTCAGTATAGCTTTTTGCTAAAACACTGCATGAGCATCATACTTATGTGTAAATGTGTGTAATATAGGGTGTAAAGCAATATACTGAAACTTGAAACGCGTTCATCGAAACACGAAACGATATGTTACATTTCATGTCGCGTTGTATCACTTAGTGTTCTAAACAAATTTTTATTGAACGAGAATGCTATAGAATGCATAGATGAAACTTTGATAAAGTTTGTAGTACAAAATTTGTAGGTGGCAGTGAAATACTTGCGATTGAGAATGGGGTTGGTAGCTTAGAAATCGAAGTTGACGTGAATCCGAACAAAAACTTAGTCATTTTCTTAAGTCGAAAAATGGATCAACGAAGCGAAGTTTGGGAATTTTTATAGGAGAATCGGGTTAAGTAGTGGCATGGTCTTAAGGTTTGTTTTAGTAGTTTGATATACCATCTCGAGCGTTAAATAGTTGGTTTAGCAATTGAAGCATTGAGGTGGGTTTTGGGGCAGCTTTAAAATCGTATGCATGGCACGTTTACGCCCGATGTCGGCGTCGGGCGTAGTCGCCGACTTCGGTTCGAACTAGCACCGTGGCTCGGCTTGCCCAGACCATGCACCCACCCCATTGTTGCGCGCCCTAGCGAAACACACCGCACACCACCATCGCCGTGCTCGTGCAAGCACCCACACATGCACGCATCGCGCCGCCGCGCCCGACGACCGGCCGCTCGGCTAGCACCGGCGTGGTCGTGGCGCCCGTTGCCCTAGCTCGCCATCGGCGCCGCTTCACCGTGTCGCCGACCCGCATGTCGCGCCACTACGATCTTTGCTAGTCGTGGCGCTTATGCGAAGTCAAGTCACCGCGCGCTCGCCACCGCCATCGCCGCGTCCGCTTTCCCGCCCTATCGCCTCGCTTGCCTATGTGGTGCCGTGAGCACGTGGCCACATTTGGCATTGCCCGCATGTCACCTTGCCTTGTCTGCCTTACCGCCATGTTGGCGCTCGACGATGCTGCGCTGCTATCTCCTCTGACCGGCTCCATGCCACTGCTTTATACTTGTTAGTGTTAAGAGTAAGAATACCTTTAGTTGCTAAGATAATATATGACATGCTTCATACTTGTTAGTGTTAACAGTAGGTAACTTAGCACCTTAGTCGGTAGAATTCGCTTAGTAGCTTGATAGATGTATTTTATTTTAAGAGCTGCTGTTGTCGTATTACTAAGTGTTGCATCATCATTTAATGCATGTAGATCACGAGTTGGTAGAGTTTATGCCCGTGGACGAACATGATTATGAAGAGGTCATTGAGGAGTACGAGGAGGAGATCCTCGTGCAGGAAGGAGCCTTGGAGCCTTTTGGTGCAGACTTTGTTGACCCACCACCTACCCAAGGCAAGCCCCGGTGCATAACCCATATTTTATGATCACTGAATATATATATATATATGATGTGCATTTACGTTATATGCATTTTATGGAAACTACATGCATAAATATATCTACCTATGAGTCCTACTAGTATATGTCGAGTAGCTGCTATGCTTAGGATTTCAGTAGCGTGAGTAACCTGCCGTTACTCACAATAGGTGATAATTATGACCACTCATGATAAATGATGGAAAGGAAAAATGGTGACCGGGCAAGGATATGGTTGGGTATTGGTGGGTGTAAGAGGTTGTGTCCTGCGGCTAACAGGGCATAGCTTGGTTACAATTTTTCCTGTCTTATCCTGAGCACATACTTGGGTATGGGCACAAGGAAGACTTGTTGCTCTCTTATCGTGGGTTCTGGCTCTTTCTGGACTGACTGATTGGAGGCGGGGATGGTGGAGGTCCTTGCACCGCACTATGTCCGGGACTTAGAAGCGGGGGCTTTGAGTCCAAGTTTGGATGGGGACCTGGACCCCTTGACAGGAGGGTGATGAGTTGGTCCTACTTGTGCCTAGGGTACAAGTGGGGCGTGTGTTTTCGAGGTACCCCGCTAGGCATTGATTCATGAATCGCCATTGAGTCGGTACGACTTGTCTTAACTCTAGCATCGTAGTAAGAACTAAAAGCTGAAAGGTGATGAAATAGAACCGATTGCTCAACTCTTGCTTGACAGTAGAACATGTGCTTACATAGAATGGATAGATAAGAAATTAATACGGCTATTAATAATAACATAAATAAGGACTCACTATTAGTATTGCTTTCCGCAAAAAAGGAAACCAGCAAACCATAAAGCCTTGCATATCCCTTGGAGTCGGGAAGCTATTCCCACTAGTTGGATAAGTCTTGCGAGTACATTGTGTACTCAGGGTTTATTTACCCCTGTTGCAAGTAATGCTTGAGGAGTACCTTTGTGTGAAGGATTCTTCTGGTGGGCATAGACGGATCCTTGTTCCCTATCGCTAGATGTTTATTTTATTCCGCTGTTTAATATTCCACACTCTGACTTTGGAAATGTAATAATGTAGTTTTTTAAGAACTCTGGATGTATGAAATTTGCTAAGTATTATAACTCGTCCTCATTATTGGATCCTTGGGAAAAAATGTGGATCTTTCGGGTTCTCCCTTTGGGTGTGCCCGACGGATACCACCCGCTGTAGCTTGCTTTCGGGGTGCTTAATGTCTGGTGGAAGACGAGCGCCTCTGTAAGTGTGTTATTTCTGGCGGTTTTGCCATAGTTGGTACCAGAGCTAATAATGAGTTTATGAGTTCATCACTGTTTTCTAAAACTTAAAAATTTGACCAACAAAAGTTTTGTGAAAAGTAGGATGTGCTAAAGTTATGTAAATAAGTATAAGCCCTAGCAATATAGTTTATCTAGGATAGCAGCACTGGTTTTATCTAATCAGTTTTCTATAGGTACACTGACTTACGTTGCGGAAGAAATCGCTTAGCATATGGAAAGTGAGTGTGCGATATGCTAAAATTTTACGAATGCCGCTATATTCTGGCATGAGTGAACGGATAGGCCGATACATGCATCATGATAATAGCATCTTGCTTAAACTAAAGTCCCCCTACACATATAATTTGGATTAGTAAATTGATAGGATAACAAAAAGAATGCTTTAATAAATGTCTCGTCGTTTCTCTAATCCCTTGTTCTGATCTAGAAGGTTGCCCTAAGTGGTTGGTTCCTATCTCTTACAGATGAATCTAAGGTCCGGAGGTGGGAGCACTAGTACCGGAGCGGGCCACGGTCTTGGCGAGGGCCAAGGTGAAAGTGGCCGACCCAATGAGCATGGCAACGGGGAGAGCCATGAGGCTCCACTTCTGGGTCCTCCTCCTCCACCACCGCCTCCAACGATGACTCATGCGGAGATGATGGCAGAAATGATGGCTACTCGCCGCGAGTCAGCACGTGCCATGGAGCTGCTGTCATAGGCTGTCGCTGGCTTCGCCCGCGAAGGCCACGAGGGCAATGGTGGGAATGGGGGTGGTGCTCGTGGTCCTGAGGGACCCTGCTCTTACCAATATTTCCTCAAGACGCACCCGTCCACGTTCACACCATCAGCTGAGCCTCTAGATACGGAGCATTGGCTTCGCATTTTGGAGCAGAAGTTCCTGTTGCTCAACATGATGGACAAGCAGAAGGTGCGCTTTGCAGCGCAACAATTGTTGGGGTTCGCGAGTGCATGGTGGGATACCTCCAATGCCATGCAGCAGCCAGATCACTAGGTGACCTGGCAGGAGTTCACCGTAGCATTCAGGGAATTTTATATTCCTACTGGTGTCCTCAACAGAAAGCTGACTGAGTTCCTGACCTACGGCAAGGTAGTTTGTCAGTGATGGACTATGTCAATAAGTTCAATCACCTATCCTAGTATGCTAGAACTTATGTGGATACAGACGAGAAGAAGAGGGACCGCTTCTATCGCGACCTCTCGCAGCCTTTAGGAGAAATTGTATACTGGGAACTATCAGACCTTCGGGGCAATGATGAATGCTGCCATCGCCATGGAGGGCTTGCAGCAGGATTTCCAGGTAGAGTAGAAGCGAAAGCGGGTGGCTACAGGGTCTTCTAGCCACCCCCACACTCAGAAAGTATAGGTTGTTCGACGGGTGCCCTATCAATCATTAGGCAGGCATTCGTTTCGATAGCCCCAGCATACTTCTTAGGCTTCTTCCACGTAGTACTATGCACCCACTTAGCAGGTGCAACCTCAACAGCCTCAAGGACAGCAGGCCCCACCTCGGCTAGGACAGGGAAACAAGATGGGTGCTTGTTTCAAATGTGGCAAGGATGGCCACTATGCCCGAGAGTGTCCCCAGAACCAGCCAGCCCAGTCTGCCTAGCCATCGGCTAACTCTAGGCTAGTGAAGCGGACAGTGATCAAGAAGGAAGTGCCAGTCAGCCGACCTGGATAGGTGAATTTCATGAATGCTGAGCAGATATTGCAGCAGGAACCGGTGATGGCTGTTATGTTTACCATTGATTCCCATCCAGCTTATGTGTTGTTTGATTCTAGTGCATCACACTCATTCATGAGCATGGGGTTTGTAGACCGGCACAATATACCTCTTATGGCTATATCGTA